TTTCTAAATAGGGTTGAGCAAGGAATCTGTAAAATCTATAATCCGATCCAATCCAGTCAAATCCGATAGGTTTGGATTGATTTTTTGAATCCATGGTTCGGTTCCAGATTGGAAATTTCAAAATCCATAAGCCACAAATCAATTTCGGATTGAACGGTTTCGGATTGGAACCGATCCGGACCATGTAGAAATAGTCTATATTTATACCATATATCCTCTTACACAATATAATTTCTTGTTTCATATAAAAGCTAAAGTGTAACCTAATTCACACCTCACTCACTCACAGTCTCTCTCTAGATCAATTGCCATATGTTGTACAGTGTACCCTGTAGGCCTTCAGTTTCTTGAAAATTGGTGTATTATAGTTGAAAAATTGTTGGAACCTTCAAACAGAGTTTGGAATATTAAGAAAATGGGCATATGGAAGTCCCATAAAAGAATTAAAAAAAAAAAAGGTTCATGAATTTAGTTAGTGGAAAAGATAATAAAATGCAAAGAAAATCATTGTTACTTCCTTATTTGTTTGTTGTTGTCTAAAACTAGTTTATCTCTGTTTATTTGTTTAGAATTTGTGGAAAGGGAAATGTAATGTCCACAACTGCTGCTGATAATTTCATACAGGATGTTGTTTGCTTTAAATGTTCTATATTTGTTTTGTTATTTAATTATGTGAATCTGTGGTTCTAAACCGATCCAATCCGTGTTTAAACGGATTGGTTCGAATTGGTTCCACGATTTAAACGGATTAGATTGGTTCTAATTTTTTAGGAACCGTAAATAACGGATTGGTCCTGATTTTCTTCCAATCCGGACCATCCTTACCCTTATTTCTGAATCCATAGCTTTTCTCCATTTCTCATTTTTCACTGCTTCTTCAAATTTGACTAGCTCAGGTGCTGCAAACATAAAAAAATGAGCCACGCCATCATCCTCTTCAGAGAAACCTTCCCCTGTTTCATATCTTACATCCAAACTGGTGGTCTTCTATTTCTTCCTCTATTTAGTTCCCCTCCTGTGTCATTGTTCAAGTCAGCAAAAACTTCTTCTTCATTTTTAGCAACGTCTTCCTTATCATTTTCAGCAGCACCTTCTTCTTTATTTTCAGCGGCACTTTCTTCTTCATTTTCAACAATTATGACTGCTCGTTTTTCATTGTCTCCCCATTCTAGATCAGCAATGATTGCCTCCTTATGTTTCTTGTCCCAATCCCAACTTTTATCCTCTTCAAACACAACATCTTGACTTACCAATATTTTTTGAGAGACTGGTTCGTACAATCTATACGCTTTTGACTCCTCACTGACTCCAAGCAAGATGCAACTCAAGCTTTTATCATCTAACTTTTTCCTTTTTCTATCAGATACATGCATATAAGAGACGCATCCAAAAACCTTAAAATACTCCACTGATGGTTTAACTCCACTCCTGGCCTCTTCTGGAGTTTGATTCTTGACAGCAAAAGTTGGGCTTCTGTTCAACACATGCACAGTCCAGTTAACTGCTTCCGACCAGAATGTTTTGGGAATTTTCTTCTCCGAGAGCATGCTTTGAACAATGTTCATAACAGTTCTATTCTTCCTCTCCGCAACTCTATTCTGTTGCGAAGTATACGATGCTGTCAATTGTCTACGTATTCCATTTTCATTACAAAAGTTGTTAAACTCTTGTGATGTAAACTCACCACCTCGATCTATTCGGAGACATCTTATACTTGAACCTATTTCTTTTTCTACTCAGTTTTTGTAGCTTTTGAAGGTAACAAAAGCATCTGATTTTTCTACTAGAAAATAAATCCATGTTTTGTGACTGTAATCATCAATAAAACTAACCAGGTACCTTTTCTTACTGTTGGATATTGGAGTGGTCGGCCCACAAATGTCAGCAAGAATAAGTTGGAGTATCTGAAAGGCCCTTCATGTGCTCACTTTTGGAAATGAATTCCTGTGTTACTTGCCCACTAGACAATCTTTACATACTTTGGAAGGAGTCTTGAGGTGAGGCAAGCCTTTCACCATTTGCTTCTGTTGGAGAGTTCTCAATCCTTGAAAATTCAAATGGCTATACCTACAATGCCAAAGATGCGTTTGATCCTCGGTGACCGTATTGAAGCACGCAAGCTGTCTTGGCTGAAAGACAACAAGTAAAGCGAACATCCTGTTGGAGGACATTCCAGATTCCATCATCAGGCCTCTTTTAGGATGAAAGATTTTGCACTTTGCATGTTGAAATACAATAGTAAGTCCCTTCTGCTGAAATTGTCTGATGTTCAGCAAGTTGTTCTTCAGCCCTGGAACATAAAACACTCCAGTAATGATTTGAACAATCCCATTCACTTGCAGCCGTATATTTCCTTTTCCATACACTACCATGCTTGAATTGTTTCCAAGCTTGACTAATTCTCTGAAGCTTGCATCCATATCCAAAAAATAATCCTTCTTCCCGTACATATGATTACTGCAACCTGAGTCAAGATACCACAAATCTTCCTTGTTTTTATTTTTTTCATCGTCCATATAGGCCATCAACAATACCTCTTTGCCAGCTTTAGCAAAATTTGCTCCTTTTTCTTTACTTGGGCATTCATATTGAAAATGCCCTAGTTTATGGCAATGATAACATTCCACGGTGGACTTGTCAAAGCCCCTGCCTCTCCTGCAACCTCTGCCTCTGAAATTGCCACGCCCACGACCTCTTCCTCCAGAATTCTCATCATATGTAACCTTCAAGGCCTGCTCTTCTGTGACATGGTCATTCATACGTTGCTCATGCACAAGTAGACTGCTTTGCAACTCGTCAATGGTCATGGAGTCTAGATCATTTGACTCCTCAATGGAGCAAACAACATATTCTTCTGCCTTCATGTGAAAAACCTCAAACTCTTTTCGAAGAGCTTGTAATTGTGCTCGCTTGACTCGTGTTGTGCCTTGATACTTCTGTTTCAACGAGTCCCATATATTCTTTGTTGTATCCTTGTTCAGAATTTTCTCCAAGATTGACCGATCGAATGCTTAGAACAGATAGTTCTTGGCTTTCAAGTCCTTCAACTTTTGATCTTCAATAACTTTCTTCTGACCTTTTGTGAGATCTTCTTCTTCTGTTGTTGAAGGAATCCCATTCTCCACCAGACCCCAATATTCCTTTGATCTTAAGAATTTTTCCATGAGCATAGACCAATGATCATAGTGCCCATCAAACTTAGGAATTGCTGGCTGCACGAAGGTATTTTCTGACGTCATATTCACGCCTAGAAGACCGCTGCTTCTCTAGATCTCAAAAATCAGGCTCCCTAGAAGGAAGCTCTAATACCAATTGTTAGAAACAAGAGTTTAAACACTAACAAGTATTTGAGAGAGTTCAACCTTATTCCATAAAATGAAGCAGATAGCTCTATATAATAGCTTTACAAAGAGTAACCACAAAGCAGAAAAACAGCCCACGTTTTTAACCAACCTAATTACGTGGTAACAAACCAAATACCAAGTCAAAATAGCACATACTCCCTAAACAATAGGGATTTATTGAAACAAATAGTAATTAATCACAAAAAATTCTAATTGTAGCTCAACAAAGACATATTGTTATTGTGGAACTAATATGATACTATATTTATGTTTTTATGAAATTAAAATATTATATATATATATATTTGATTATGTGAATTCATATTCCTAAACCGATCCAATACGTTTTTAAATGGATTGGTTCGGATTGGTTGTACGATTTAAACGGATTAGATTAATTCTAATTTTTCAAGAGTCGTAGATATCGGATTGATCCTGATTTTACTCCAATCCAGACCATGTTTACCTTTACATATAATATTGTCATAATTTATTAATTTAATTTGATTGGATCATATGAATTATTAAAAAAAACTATAAGTGTACAACTTACAAATATAAGTTTAGTAAAAAATATGTAACATGATTCAGTTTGATTTTAATTGGCAAGATTTAAGTGTAGGAATGAGAAGTAATTTTAATTTTTTAAAATAAATCTAATTCGCACAAATACCTTGATCAAAATCTGTGAGGGTTTGTTTGTTTGGACGGACTGGATAAGGGGGGATTGTAATCTATCAGACTGTTAGTCTTGGGATACATTCTCCCGGACTATTTAGTTAGATTAGATTTGTATCCTATGTTTGTTTAGTCATGAGATTAGATGTCTTGATTGAATTATTTTTAGTGAATCTAATGTTTGGTTAGACGGACTGGATAAGGATAAATGTTCAAAAGACTATTTTACCCTTGTAATTTATAATTTTTATTTAATATATAATTTCAAATTAACAACACTAAAAAAAATAATTTTATTTAATATGTAAATTTAATTTTTTTAACAACACTAAAAAAATTTAATTTATAAGGCCATAATTTATAATTTATTATTTTTAAATAAATTTAATTTATAATTTATATTTTTTATTTAATATATAATTTTAAATTAACAACACTAAAAAAATAATTTTATTTAATATGTAAATTTAATTTTTTTAATAACACTAAAAAAATTTAATTTATAAGGTCATAATTTTTAATTTATTATTTTTAATTAAATTTAATTTATAATTTTTTATTTAATATATAATTTTAAATTAACAACACTAAAAAAATAATTTATAAATGTTTAAAAGGCTATTTTATCATTTTCTAATTGTTTGCTAAATAATAGCATAGGGGTAAAATAGACATTTCAGAGTCTAATCCTATGGAATACCAATCCCACCCCTAATGGGATATGGTAGTCCCACAAATATGAGGAACTATTAATCCGAAGTAAAAAAATTAAAACAAACAATAGACTATTAGTCCGGTAAAACTAATAGTTCAATGTCACGCCCTAATCCTTCAAAACAAACACACCTGAGTGATTTTGAAAGTTAGTTAAAAATTGAATTTTTAATTTTTTTTTTTCTAATTTTTTTTTTATCCTTTTATATATTAAAAATTATGAGGAGTGATATAACTTTTAACTGGGGTTGTCAAATTGCCCCACAATAATTGTCGGCAGGGTGAGCTCGGCTCGTTCAAATGATGACCCAGCATACAAACAAGAAGAAACAACTGGTGATGGAATGAACAGTTCTCTGTGAGTGGAGTGATGTGAGAGAGACCCTACAAATCACAGAAAAAGCTAGACAAATCTACAGCTGGGTGCTGCTGTTGCTGTCTATTTGCTTACTCAATTCACGCTATCCGACACCACGGTGTCCACGATTTGAATCGATTAGTATTTGATTTGGATTTTTGTACTTTGTCACCAAATTTCAATTGGAATTGAGAGATTGATGATGATGGTGATGGTGGTGAATTGGCAGAGGAAAGGGTAGTAGTAATAGTAGTAGTGTGGTTGGGGATGGGAAGGGGCTCGGGGTCGGAATCAAACTCAGACGGGTGGGGCAGAGCTCGGGGATTGGTGTTGAAGACGCTGGTGCTGATCGGAGGCGCAATCTTGCTCAGGCGTCTCACCAAGTCCACCACCGGTTGGGACCATACTCGTATCGTCGCTCGCTCCCTCACCGGCGACAAGGTACTCTCTCTCTCTCTCTCTCTCTATACATATATGTATGTACATGTGTATGTATATTTATTCATAGGCAAACTTCACTTCACTTTACCCCCGTGTTTGGGCCATGGCGGTTTACCCCTAACGTTTAAACGACTACTCTGCACCGTAAAATATTCCATCTAACTTAACAGATATAAGGAGTTATATGCTTATTTTCAAATTTCAAGGTAATTGGCACATGAAATAAAATAGAGATTAAATCACACATGGAATAAAACACAAGGTTAAATTGCATTTTTTCTTACAAACAAATAACAAAAATACAGGTATTTTTGTCTTTTTCATTAAATTGTAACCACAAGGGGTTATGGGATTGTTTTCAAATGTTAGGGGTAAACCAAACATGACCCAAACGAGAGGGGAGTAAAGTGAAGTTTGCCCTTTATTCATTTCATTTTTAGCACTTTTCTATTGATTCATTTACTTGTCTGTGATACTTATTGGTATCTATTGTGTTAATTTGCTAGTACTCCAGAGAGCAAGCATCTAGAGACCCTGATAATTACTTCAATTTGAGGTACTATGATTTTTACAAATTCCTTGTTTTACTTCCCAAGTACCAATGCCTAATTCAAATCTATATGGCTTAAATGTGGCTGTGCGTTTGTATACCTATCTAATATTATATATATATATATACTAGCAGTGGCTGCAAATGCATCGTGTTTGTAATTTCACAGTTATATCTTTCAATGGTTTGATGATTGAGGGGTGATTTGATGAATGATAAAAACCTTTAGCAGTTTTGGCCAGTTTGATGATCCAGTTATTGGATGAATTTGAGGAGCATTATTGGAAAACCAAAAGAATGTGACAGTTTGCACCAACAGAGGTGTAGGTTTTCTATAATAGAATAGATGTCAATGTGTATTTCTAGAAAATGTGTATTTCTTATTTTCAAGTGAGCTTAACTTTGCTCTAGTGCTGGTACTTGTGATTTTTTTTTCCTTTGCATTGAGCATCCTTGGTAATTTTTCAAGTCCCCAATAACCTCACTTGTTCTAGATGAGCAATTGTAAGTTTTTTTCTGTTTTTCTGTTTTTGGGTTATAAATTAGTGGCCGCTGATTTGTTAAACCATTCTTCATGTTTGATGATGCTCTGCAAGAACTCAAAAACCTTCGACTTTGATAACCATATAATTGCTGTTTTGAAACTACTTTTTCCCTGCTATAGAAATGCAAACAATCAAGGCTGGACATTGGTTTTGAGAGCAATGAGTGCTTACAATGTGTTGTTTACAAATTTAGAAGATTTGTTTGAAGGGTTGAGAGCTTTTTCTTTCATTTTTGAAGATGGCTTTCATGCCCGGCTGCAGAGATGGTGGATGGTTCAAAGGTTTTATATTATGAACAAGTTAGTATATCAACTGATCAATTTTTGCATCCTAATTTTATTGAGAAATTTTGGCTTAGTGAGGTATATCTTTTGTTGGCACTTGACAGGCCTTTTGGAGGACGCCTCATAAGCCCTTTCGTCAGGTATGCAACATATTACATATCCTTATCATTCGTCTAACCAAGCTGCACACCTTATATTAGTTATTTTTATGCATGTGTTCTATGTGTAGTTTGTGTTATTTTTCTTGTTGTAATTGAATTTTGCTAAATTATAAAGCAGCAAGACCATATTTTTATCCTTTTGAGTACTTGTAATGATTTTCTTCATGTTTAATCTACAAGCATACATTTTAGTCTATAATTCTAGTAATATATGCAAGCATACATTGTGTGGGTATTAGCAAATAAAAAAAATGTGGGGACTAACCATTTTACCCCCCCAAAAAAATAGTTGTTGTGATTATATATACAACAATACTACATACCTAGTATAGAACATCTATGGATTAAATTCATTCTGGGTAGCCACACATCACACCAACTTTGAATCTACACCATACACCTTACTTTTGAGGTAAAAATTCTTGGTAGGTAGCATTTCCCATTTGCATAAAGGGCCCCATTTTAAAACTTCGCCTAGGTCCCCAAAGAACTCAGGACCAACCTTGCGTGCTTTCTACATGTTATCTTCTGGTTTTCTTCAGATTTTTTCTTTCTTTTCAAGTCACATAATTAGTTTCGTAGTGTACTATAGTTCCTTTACGCTCTATTGGGAACTTGGATTTAGTAAGGTAAAAGAACAAAGAAAGGAAAGTGGGAAGCAAAATTAGTTTAAATGCTTTCATGTTTTTCCTCCTACCTAAAAAAAAAAATGATAGATTAAAATGTTTTTTTAAAATGACAATAAATCATAGAAAGAAAATGATATGTTATATGAGAAAATTTCTGATGTACTTTCCGTATATTTTTTTTCTCTATTGTTTCCCTTGTTAACTAAACAAAGAAAAACAATTTTCTCTGCATTTTCTTTTCCTTTTCCCTCACCAAATCCATGAAGCAAACACACCATTAGAGAAATAATTTAGAACAGTATTTGTGTTTTCCGCTGTTAGAATTTTCAAGGAAGCTTTTATTTTAGTTTTTCGTAATGTTTTTTATTTTTAGTTTTTTGTAATGTTTTCCCCATAATGATTTGTAAAACTCTGTTGTTGCAGAGATTTTTCATGGTGAAGCCTTGTCCAAAGGAGATGAAATGTGATGTTGAGGTAGTGTTCAAGTTTGTCAGCATAATTTTTCTTATGCAATACATTGATGTGTTATGACAATTTAAAATTTAGGTTTAGTAGAGGGATGAGGATTAAGAGATTTGATATTTTAAAGTTTGTTACTTCGCTCTTTTCACTTCAAATAAATTTGACTGCATCTTCTTCTAAGAAAAAGCACACGAGAACTTCATGGTAGTTAGAATTTTTTTTCTGTCTTTCAAGAACTTCGTACCTTGTTGTGGAGAAGAATAACATGCTTTTTTCTCTAACTTATACTTAATGGCAGCTTAGTACATATGCCATCAGAGATGCAGAGGAGTACAAGAACTATTGTGATCGCCCAAAGGACCAGCGACCACAGCCCGAAGAAGTTATTGGGGTAAGCTTTCAGGCAAATTAAGACAATCCAAATGCATGTACTTGGATTCTCTAACTCTATGTTCGGCTACAAAGATGTTTGCTTATGATGGATGCATTGTATTTGTATCTTTCACTGAGAATGGGAAATTTTGATTCTACTTTTGCAAATTATGGCTTTAGTTTCTAAAGGAAAAAGGTTCCACAAACTTCTCATGAAACCAATGTTAAGGACCTATAGATGCATGGATCATCAATTACAGCTCTTAGATGTCTAAGTATATATTAGTCAGTCAATACATGTTCATATTAGTCAAGTCCACCTCTCACCCCTACTCCCACAACCCTGGAATAATTTTCCACGCTGACACATATACTTGGTTTCGTAATGGCATACCTTGACACTGTACAAATTTTGAGAGATACCGACAATCACTTTATTCATCTAAGATTGCATTGCCCTGCCATTATCTGCATTAGAAATTAAAAAGATGCGAAATATAGAAAAGCTAGGACTATGCAAGAAAAGTAAAACAGTCTGCATGCTTTGCATTTTCTAAGTGGACAGTTGTTGTGGAATATCCAACAAAGAAAAGGTGATCAATTTTTGTGATTGATGGAGTACGAAGCAATCATTTTCTAGTCAAATGCCCCATATTACGGAATCAATTATCCAAGCAAGGGAGAAAATGGAATTTAAGATAAGAAAGTGAATGGTAGGGAATGCTTACCATTTTTTGCATTTTTTATTTATTTATTATTATAAAGCAAAGGAAATATTACCAAGCAAACATCACATTTTTGGTATCAAGAAATTTTGTTCGCGGCTGCTTATGATCTGTTTTTCTGCTTTATAGTTCTGAGATAACTTATAAAACTAATGTATCTTGCCTTCATATGATAAACTTGGAGTTTTACAGTAGGTGAGTCAACTTCATTCACTTAAAGAGTTATCACTTGGTGTTGAAGGCAAGTAATGTACTTGCCTTCACCACCAGTGTGGTACATTTTCCAAACCTCAACCCATGTTAAATCCATATCATGAGGGGGCAACACTCACATGATTAAGAGCACTGAATCATGCAAACACAACCCACTCATTGAAAGGAGTTATTAGGTTGAAGGACAGCTAGGTCAAGTGGTGGGGTTTAGAATATAGAGTTGCCGATGTTAATGTCAGATACTGTACGGGGAGCAAATATTCAGGCAAGCCCATATTCTTTTCTTCCAAACTCCGTTTTTGTCCGATCACCTGAAAGCACAATGTGGGTGAGCTACTCGGCGGTGTGTGGCCGGAAAACCCTTCTGACGATCTAATTAGCACACACCTTAGGGTAAAGAGAGAGGGAGGGTGTTTGAGTGTAGGAGTTCCTTACAAAGTGTTTTTTCGCGTATGGGGGGCGCAGACATGCTTATATACCCTCTGCACCCCATATCCACTCCCAGTCATCTCCTGACACGTGGCTTCGCTATCCCATCTGTCAGCGTAAACCTTGCCGAACATCACCTAATCTCAACTGCCTGCCTTCTCAGCTGGAGCTCGGCAGCCAAGCTGCTCTATCCACGGCCGTGCTGTGCTTCACACCCAAGCACTTCACTGGCTAAGCCCAAGGAGGACCGGGCTAGGCGGCATCTCGGCAAAGCCTAGCCTGGGGCACCTCCTGTGGTCGGCCTTCCTGCCGATCAAACGATTACCTCGGCTGACCACGCCTTTCCGGGCGCCGGTCACTCAGCTTGACTGGCTCCACTATCGCCTGATCAAGCAGCTCGGTCCAACCGAGCACTGCCTTGCCGAGCAGCTTCTTTACGGTCTGGGGCGGCACATACTTGGCCCAACTCCTGCCCGGCCCAAGTCCTGGCAGCCCATCTCCGGGTGGATCGCCGGTCATCTCGGCCCCACGCACCGTTAGGCTCTCAACCTGCTTGGCCGTTACCTCGGCCCAATTCCAGATCATAAATCTCCCTCTCAATTGCCCCTTAATTCTGTCCGCTGAAACGTGACTGGGATTACCTATACTGACCGGGATAATCTTGTCCTCGGTCCGCGGTTTGCAAAATGGCGATCAGGCCGGTTATTATTCCTGGCTTCAGAACTTGCCCGGTTCAACTTCTCGGTTTTTCATTCCTGTCTTCAAGACCAGCCCGGCTGGCTCCTCGGTCGTCGTCTCGCCTGACCTTCCTGTCGCTTCAACTCTAACGCTGCATTAATGGGAACACGTGTCGTCCTTTTATTCGCCCTCGAGCGGCTAACCCAGCCGTCTTTGCAAATTTGAATTTGGGCTGTTTCTTACCCTTTATAAACATGCCCCTGCCCTCTTCCTTTCGTTCTTACTGCCTCTCTTGCTTATCAAGCTTCACAGAGCTATTGTCCATCCTTTGCCGTTCCTGAACTCAAGCTCCAAGGTGGAGAACGCACTGCCCTAACTTGGTAAGTCCTCAAACTCCCCTTTTATCGTCATTTTCTTCGATATTTCACACATTAGGGGAGAGAAACGCAGCTTTTAGGATTCGGGCACCAAAAACCATCCCAAACCCTCCATTACTCATTGTGTTCTTCATTTTTCCTGAAGAACACTGAAGAACAGGGGCGGACCGGGCTCCTGGTCTTCATTTGATCCAAAAAACCTTTGTAACCGAGCAAATGACATGTTTGTCAGAACCGCAGCAAAAACCGAGATAGCAAAAGGAATTGGTCGCTCAACCGGGCTAACATCTGGTTCGCTTGGGCGACCGAGCTCCTTAGTTAGCTTAGGAAACCGAGGTGGTTTGGCACTCTTCATGACCGAGCTAAAGAAAAGCTCATTTTGCGCGACCGCGCTCACACTTACACTTGCCATCCTTTTCCTGCAGAGTCCAAGGAGACCACTGTCCATTTCTCAGGCCCTCAAGACTGAGCAACTACCAATTGCCACTGTGCCAAACACCTCAGCCGAGCTACCTTAGTCCGGCCACAAATGGGGAAATTCCGCTTCCTAGTGGATACTCCGGCCGCGCTAGCCATGTTCAGAGAGGAGTACGGCATCCCGGCCGACGTCCATCTCGAACTGGCTAAAGAGGAGACAACACCTTGGGGCAGACTAGACCACTGCCCCTTCACCGTGCTGTCAATAGTAGAAGGAGGCCTCCGCTTCCCAGTCAATCCCCTGATGACCGAGTTCCTGCGCCGAACCGGGCTAGCACCAACCCAAGTATCCACCAACACCTACCGGATAATAAACGGCGTCCATGAACTGAACAATCGGCTAGGCACCAACTTAGGTCTAGCCGAGATATTGAGGCAATACACGATGGGTCACACCGGTGACGGCCTAGCCTATTACTTGAAAATCAGACCGGGCAAGAAGAAAATTGTAATCGGCACCCCGGATAAAGATTTGCACGATGACGATTTTTTCTGGGTGTCGGGCAATTACGAAACAGCCGAGGTACCGGGTTGGTTTATAAGCAAGAACTTCGGTTCCTCATGTAAGCCGCTCAAACTTGCTCGGTCAGCTTACCTCTTTATTCTGTAATTAACCGGTTTTCCTGTTTCTTTTGCAGCAATCCAAGTCTTGCAAGCCAACTATCAATTTCCCAACGTAGAGGCAATTCGGACCGTGCTTCGTTATTCCCACCGAGATTGCAACGATTTGCTCGGTTACACCCCAACCTACATGTACTCTGCTCCGCGCCGGAATAGAGTAACAGACTTCCTCCGTGCTCCATTGCCACCTCCAGACCCTACCCTTCCTGGCGTCCCCTTAATCCGGTTAACAGACGAACAAGAAATGGCCAAAAGAAGCCGAATCAAAAACCTTCTCACTGCAACCTGGGCCGAGATACCGAGCGTCGTCGCCCGTTCCCCGGCTGCCGGTCAATCAAGTGCCGCCGTGGTCGCCTTAGCTTCTCCAGCCGCCGGGCAGTCTAGCCAAGAAACACACCGGGCTGGCAAAAGACCACAAACAGATCCCTCTGCCGAGCTCGTCGCCGAACTGACTACCGAGCAACCTGCCGACAGGGTCAGCCCCATCCCAGCATGGCGGCCGCAGTTGAAGCACTGGGGCAAAGAGATCCCGACAAATGCTTCGGTCAAAGGTGACAAGGAGCATTTGCTTGCCTTCGACCTCTCAAAGGCTCTGCTACTGCCCAGCGACGTGGTTGGCAGTGACCACGTTCCTGACACCCGGCTGGTCAAATCCGCCGTGAAGTCCATGACCAGGGTAAGAATTTCAATCTTCTGCTTCAATTTTCACAAGTGTTTGCACGGTTTTGTTCTTTGATCAAATTCTCATTTTGCAGGCCATCCAAAAGCAGCACTTGGTCATGGAGCGCATCCACAGACTTCGGCAGAAGGCGAGTGATACCGCAAGCCAAGTCGAAAGCCTCCAAACCGAGCTTGGCCGAGCAAAGTCATCGCTCGAAGCCGCCAATTCCGACAACAACAGGCTGCTCGGCCAACTTGAAGCAGCCGAGAAAGAGAAGGACGAGCTCCAGGCCGAGCTTGACGAGCTGAAGAAGTCCAGGAAAAAAGACTGCGAGGACGCCAATAACGCCGGCTTCAACGAAGCCGAGGAAAACTACAAGAAACAAGTCTTCGCCACCCAGGACATTTACTTCAAGGCTGGATGGAAGGCTGCCTGTCAACAGCTCGGTCAGGGTCCTGACACTGACGTGTTTGCCTTTCCACCGGCTGTCTTTTTACCGACCTACCTCATTCCATATGCCAATGACGTCTTCAGTGCGCTGCAAGCTGAGGCCGAGGAAGGACTTCAAGAAGAGGACGAGAGCGAAGCTGAAGGAGAGGACCAAACCGAACAGGAGCAGGCCGGCCAGACTGGGACCGGTGTCCAGGACCCAACTGCCACGGTCAACCTGGAGGCTGATGAGGAATTCCCTGATCTCTCCCCCCTAGCTTAGGTTTCTTTTTTCTGTTTCTGTAAATGTAACCGGGCTAAGTTTCCCACCTTTTGTATGAACTTTTTATCAATGAAAAGCTTTGATTTCATCAAGTGTTTGGACGGTCGTCATCAATTCCTTTTTCAGCAACACATCTCGGTATAAATTGTAAAATCGAACATAACACCCAAGTTGAACTCACCAACTTTTTCAACCGGAATAAATCAACTCGGTTGGGAATCCTAAGCTGGGCAAAACACCAACTCTTCCAACCGGAGTAAATCATCTCGGTTGGGAATCCGAAGTTGGGCAAAACACCAACTCTTCCAACCGGAGTAAATCGTCTCGGTTGGGAATCCGTAGTTAGACAAAACACCAACTCTTCCAACCGGAATAAATCATCTCGGTTGGGAATCCGAAGTTGGATAAAACACCAATTCTTCCAATCGGAATAAATCATCTCGGTTTTTACATTAAAACAACAGTCTAAGTGCTAAAGCAAAATTACTTCTATATATTGACAAAAAGAATTACATTCTGAAGTGCAAGTCAAAAAATTCCTTTGTACAAGAAAAGAAAGCAAAAGCTTAAAAATAATACAGTTTCAAGTTGGCCGCATTCCATGGCCAGGGTATTGCTCTTCCCTCTAGATCCTCCAAGTGGTAAGCCCCCTTGCCCGCCAGACCGGTGATCTTGTAGGGTCCTTCCCAATTTGCCCCTAGTTTGCCTTCACCTGGCACCAGGGTGTTGCCCATAACCTTCCTCAAAACCCAATCACCAACTTTGAACGGTCTGGGGTGCACCGTCTTGTTATACTTCTTTGAGAGCTCCTGTTGGTAGGCGGCCACATGGATGAGGGCCTTCTCCCGATGCTCGTCCACTAGCTCCAGCTCCAAGGCAATAGCCTCGGCATTCAGTTCGGGCTCAAAACTCTCGCTTCTTAGGGTGGGCATGCCAACTTCCAAAGGTATGACCGCCTCCATGCCATAAGCCAAAGCAAATGGAGTTTTCCCGGTAGATCGCCGCGGGGTTGTTCGGTATGCCCAAAGGACGCTGGGTAATTCCTCGGCCCATTTTCCCTTTGCCTTCTCCAGCCGCTTCTTCAATCCATTCAGTATAGTCTTGTTCGATGCCTCGGCTTGACCATTGGACTGCGGGTAAGCCGGAGTGGAGTTGTAGAATTCAATCTTCAAATCTTCACAAAATCCTCTGAATAGGCGACCGTCAAACTGGGTGCCGTTGTCAGAGATCAAGATCTTGGGGACGCCAAACCGCGTGACCACGTTCTGCTAGACAAACCGCTTCACGTCTTTCTCTTTGATTGTTGCCAAGGGCTCAGCTTCAACCCATTTTGTGAAGTAATCTGTAGCTGCAATGAAGAATTTCCGGTTGTCCGGTGCTGTTGGCAGTGGCCCCACTATATCTAGCCCCCACATGGCGAAGGGCCAAGGATTGGTGAGGGAAAGAAGTTCCCTGGCAGGCTGATGGATCTGATGGGCGAACTTCTGGCATTTTTCGCACTTGCGAACGTACTTTTGTGCGTCGGCCTGCATGCACGGCCACCAGTATCCTTGCGAAATAGCTCGGTAGGCCAAGGACCGGCCCCCTATGTGGCTGCCACAAATGCCTTCGTGAATTTCGTACAAGAAGGCCTCCACACTACGCGGGTGCACGCACTTTAGATAAGGACCAGTGAAGGACTTTTTATACAACGCACCAGATGGAGAGAGCCAAAACCGCTCTGACTTCACCCGGACTTTGTGTGCTTCTTTCTTGTCAGTTGGTAGAGTCCGGTCTCTGAGGAACAAGATTAAGGGGTCCATCCAGGAAGGACCTAACGCGGCGCAGAGTACATCCGTCTGCCCGGCGTCTTCAATGCTTGGCCGTGGAAGAAAGTCAATTAACAGGGGGTTTGGAGACGTACTATCTACCATCGAAGCGAGGCCGGCCAGCTCATCAGCTCGACTGTTTTCTTCACGGCCAATCTGTTGGACTCTAATTGCCTGAAACTGCTTGAAGTGTTCCCTAACCAGAGCTTGGTACTTCGCCATTCTGTCATCCTTTGCTTTGTAAATCCCAGAGACTTGGTTAACCACAAGCTGGGAATCACTGTACACCAGTAGCTCGGCAGCCTTCATTTGAATAGCGCTCTTGAGCCCGGCGAGAAGGGCCTCGTACTCAGCCTCGTTGTTAGATGTTGGGAAGCCAAGCGTGATAGAATGTTCGATGGTTAGGCCATCCGGGGAGATAAGAACGATACCTAGGCCGGCACCATGACGGTTGGACGCTCCATCAACAAAAAGCTTCCACATTTCCCCCACAAAAAGCTTCCAGCAGTCTGATGGGTCTTGAGAGTTACGAAGGGCAATGGGATCACGGTTTCTTGGCCGTCTGGTTTCAAGTTCCGTGTTGATTGGTTCCACTTCAGCCCCCCTTGGTGATTCGGCACCGGACTCAGCAAGTCGGTCTACAATGCTTAAGTCCGTAGGCGAATCATCAGGTTGCGGTATTATGTCGGCCGCAGGCTCTGTGCTGAGTAGTTCCAGTACTTCACCCTCTGACGACGCGGTACCGGACAGAGTGGGTGGGACAACAATACTCGACTCCGTCATCGCGTCACCAGTTGGTTGAATTGTACAAGTTGAGGGTACTACGGTGGGGCGCGCAAATTCCGCGTTGGCAACTCCACCCAGTTGTGGTATCTCGGTCAGGCTTGCAGTCCCTTCTTTTTCTGCCGCGGCAATATCGACCGGGCATACCGGATGAGTTCCTGGCGAGAATTTAGTAACGAAATCGGCCAAAGTTTGGGCCTTTATGGCTGTGCGCGGTTGGAACTTTACATCAAACTGTCCCAATTCGACCGCCCACTTGAGAATTCGGCCTGAAAAGTCTGCCCGTTCAAACAAGGCCTTAAGGGGAAACTCGGTCAGTACGATGATGGTATGGGCGTGAAAATAATGCGCCAACTTCCTTGAAGCCATCATCAAGGGAAGTTTTGTCGGTACGACCTGCCATTCTAAGGGGGAAGACCGAGAAGATGAAAGATGTGATCCTGAGTTTCACTCAACGGGTCTAGAGCGTACATCCAGACGCCGCATCACGATCGCCCTAGTAGTAACACTACGCGTCAAGGAATTTTTGATGTAAACGGATTCTTATCGATCAGGGAGCATCGGTCGAGATCATGTTATTATCGATTGCGTTTCAAGCAGCTCAAACCCGGGAGACTAGACTTGGCGTCCAGGCACACTCGCACTGGTTGGATTTCAACTCAAACCGGAGTGGCCCTTTGGGAAAATTATATATCCGCCGGTCTAATAAGCGGATCGTCGGTTCAATGCAAGTGGAGTTGGGGTTGCATCACAATCGTAGCCTTTTTCGGACGGGTAAACCTTATCACTGGGAAGGAGGTGGTTCATGCTTATGCAAGCTCGTACGATCGACCTACCCACCTAGGTTAATGAGATTCCCCCTCGGCTATGGGGCAATCGAGGAGCATACTGAGTGCGGGGATCATATGTCATGCCAACAGTGCTTCGTTGCGCGTGAATTTCGAACGGCAGTAGCCTGAACGCTGCCACAAGGACTTCGTGTGCAAATGATAGATAGGACCACTGGGTCATAGAGAGCCGAGGAGTTTCTGTCGAGGATGTGGGCACTAAGGCAGAGGAACAAGCTGCGGGCACGGACGTGTGTTTGGTAAGTGTGCTCACGATTTACGATGTCGCCAATCGACCGCGCCACTGAGTAATTCTGGAGAAGCTTTGGAGAAGCCTGCCGGACAAGTTCTTCTGCGCTTAAATCTAAGCGGCTCTATCTAGACGCGCAAGAGAGGAACCGAGAAGTTGCCTCTCGTTGAGTCTAGTTACTTGATTGCTAATACAGTCTCGATGAAGTCTTTGCGACTGTCGCCATAATAATTTGACCGTTCGCACGCGGTTCTCTGAAATCCCAAGTTTATCATTCGCTCATCACCTCAAAAGTCGGCATGCTTTCTTTCTTCCTGTCAGCAACCACCGGCATACCCCTCGTCACTCCATGCTGAAGCCAAGGCAGATCCAGACACAGTGTGCACTCTCGCGAGGCTTAGACTTAGACCGAGGAAGACGTGAAGAACCTGACTTAAGTGGCGAGGTGCTTTAGACGTACGCCTAATTCATGGACACGCAGCTGCGACGTGAACACTCCTCGAGTGGAACCGACTTTCCTGACTCAGACCATGCCATGGGTAGTGGTGCGCGCCAAGAAAGGAATAAAGTTAAAGGTCCTGATTCGCGGGACGTTCTTGTGTTTGTATACGAACTATAAGACAGATCAAACGAGCCAAGTGTCCGCAAAGAGTAGCATAATGCCCCTATATGAGACCTATGAAATATTCTGCACCTAGCTTTAGCGTGACGTTGCACTGCAATGGAGCCTACTCATGATTCAGCGACAGTTTTCCGTTTCGAGCCACGAGGATAACCACGTCTTGGACCTTTTCACCATATGCATAGATCTTCCTAGAGAATGAGGGAAGCTGCGATCGGGACACAGGCATGAACTCTTTTTCGCGACTCCAAGGGGACTCTTCTGCTACCGAGTTCATTGCCTTTGATGGTCTTGGTGCTTAAATACGAGACGAGCCGCAACTTTTCAAAAGAGGCATCGTGACCAAGAACCTAGTTTTGCTCCCTTGGCCAGTTTAGTTGCCGGCCATCCATTTAGAGCTTACATCGATGACTGGAGATCGTTGGTGAAAGTAGGCCAAATTTTAAGGCCAACCATACTTGTGCTCTTTTCAACCCAAGCACTGTTTTGCTCTGTCATAATCGTACGAGATTAGCGAGGCATAGTCTGGCCGCTTGTTCATAACGCAATAAGTCGCTGCTCTCTTTTTCGGCGGGTTGTGCGTGACATAGCGAACCAGGAAAAATATATTTGTTCCGGGGACCCACGCCAAAGGACCACTTTGACGGTAAGGTATATTTCAAGCGGAGCGTGTGGTACTTTAGATGGCCCAAAATCTTGGTTGCTTAACCGTAGCTCGGACAAAGCTGATAACGATTGCTCACCACCACCAAACAAGGCGATCCCCCTCGAAAGACCCCAAGCCACACAAACCAACCTACTCAGATCAGAGCCCGTGCAAAGAGTTGAAGCAGCCCAGCTCGGCTAAGGACGTGCAGCATCTGGCCGGGATGGCCGCCGCGCTTAATCGGTTTATAAGCCGTCATCAGATCGCTGCCGCCCTTTCTTTCAAGCATTGAAGTCAAATGTTCTCGTGGGAACGAAGAGTGTGACCGAGCTTTGGCCCGAGCTCAAGGAATATCTTGTCTTCCCCCGCCACTGTTGGTTACACCAGAGCCGGATGAGGAACTTTACCTTTACCTTGCCGTCTCCCAGCACCGAGTCAGTGCGGTGGCTAGTCGCCGCTGAAGGAATCAAGCACCTCCCAATTTTCTATGTCAAGTAAGACCTTGCGGCTGAGACGAGGTACTTGCCGCTGGAAAAGCTTTGCGTTGGG